ACCTATCGGCACCCTGCACGCCCTGGCACAACCTCCGAACGCATAGATTATATATATTGTAAGGCTTCGGTGTAGGCGGTACCTATATATTTTATGTATATACGCATGAGTGAATAATTAGATATATGTTTATACAATTGTATTCATAGCTTTCATTCGCAGCAATGCCCAAAGCCAAGCAGTAAAACCTCCAAATATCAAAAAATTAGAAGGTAACATAAATAGTTTGGTTCAAAGGAAAATTTACTAAAAAATATAAAGTTNTATATATATATATATAGATGAAAAACGCGAAAAAGGGGAGAAGGAGCGCGAGAGAGAGAGAGAGAAGTGTAGGCACGCCGCGATAACAGGGTGGGTAAACAGAGATAAGGAGACGAGTTAACCCGTACACACACGAGCCCGTCCAACTTTATACCACCCGGCTTTTGTGCATGTGTATATACATGGCATTCGAATATATATGTTGTACGCGTACGTGTGTTGTAACTATTTTCTTTTGCTCTCCGAGAAGCCATACGTCGCCGGGTGTGCTTCTCTCGTCTTTTTATAACATATCGCTCCCTCTCGTCGGCGTCGTCGTTTCCTCTCTCCGTATGGAGCGCGTATACATATGTGGGTACAATTTGGTTTCGCGTGATAGCCGGTGCAAGCCGATCATCGTCGTCATCGTATTATCACCATCACTATTATTGGTCGAGAGCGAGATAGGGAGAAAAAAAATATATAAAAGATACAGAAAGGACTTCCGAGAAATTTAACGGGGATATATAAAAAATATTATATACGTATAAATTTGAGCCATCTCTTCGCGCTTGCTGTATATGGGGAGCTGCTGCGGAGGTTTCTCGCCCAAATAAAATAGTCGTGCTATTTAATTGGCGCGAAAGTACTCGTATTTTTGGACTTGTATCGTATGCTCACAGGTGATTCTGACCTGGGAAAAAAAAAAAAAAAAAAAAAAAAAAAATGATAATGGGCAGTATATGATGTACACTTCATGCAATCTTCGTGGTTGCAGGACGAATAAGAAAAAGTAAAAGCAAATGCAATTGAATTGAGCATAAAAACAAAAGTAGTCCGGATGCGGAGACCTTGATCTCTTTGTCCAAAAACTACTTTTCTTTTACCCCCGAAATAAATTGTAACCAATCACCCAAAAAAATCCGTCACAAATGGGTCAATAATGATGGGCATAAAAAATGCAAAATTCATAAGAAATCATGCACTTTGGCAAACAAAAAGAGAGAGAAATTTTGCTCGTCAGATTTAAATAGCTCTCTATTTGCTTTAGCTTACTCTATACGTAACAAGATGCCATTGGTAGGTATTACTAATTGGGCTTTGCATATGCTGTTACCTTTTTTTGGTTATTGGTAAAAATTTGTCCATACGGTGTAGAATATAGGTAATAAAAAAATATAGTTAAAAGCCAGGCCGCAACCTCCTGAATAGCTTGGCGCGAAGAGGCGTTACTCGCCCTCGTATACGTATACATGCACCTATGTACATTATACCAAGCATCGAGCCAAGCATTATACTTGTATAACTAGGTACAAACGTTATATTATATATACACATACACATGCACGGGAGAGTCGAGAGAACACACACCGCACCGCAACTCGTTAATGAATGAAAAATGCAAATAGCCTGCTTCCGCCCACCACCAGCGTCTCTCTCGCCTCCCTCTGCCTCTACTCGACCGACTCCCTACTCCCTGGTGATGCCTACACGTATAGCGTAGCAAACCACCTCTTCTCCTCTTCTCTCTCGGGAGTCGCGAGTTTTTCCGCTTGCACAATCCGCCGGCTCATGTGCATTGGTGTGTGTGTGTGTGTGTGTGTGTGTGTGTGTGTGTGTGTGTGCTAGCCGGCCTCGTTCACCGATTCTTAATCCGCTGCAAGCTTAGCCAAGCTGCACAGAGTTTGTGACACCGGAGAATAAGTAACGTTTTAACGTAAAAAAGGTTTCATATTTTTTACAACAAAATAAAGGTAAAAGATAACCAACGGGCACGAAATAATCAGTCGTAACTATACGTCAAAATGAATGAAGAAGCAACGAAACGACAGTTAATCAACGAGAGTTACATTCACAATAGAAACCAACAAACATGAAAAATGCGTTGTCTACCAACAGAAGAGAAGAACAAACTAAAGCTTCAAGTTGAGGGTAAAGTAAAAAAAAAAAAATTGAAATTCTTTAAAAAGAGTTGGAAGGTATAATTAAAATCTTCATACAAACATCTCTCAATGCGCATCACATAGATGCATAAGAAAATCGCACGCGAAGAGTCGCTGATAAGCTTTACTCGGGACACACCTATGGATGAGGTAGGAGTTCGCGTATTGTAAAAGAAGAAGGACAGACCCACGCACTACCTACTACAACTGTATAGTAACTAGGACCCGCTTTCATTCATCGAACTCTACTGACAGATTTCACTTGCAAGTTACGAGCCATTTTTCTTTCCACCTCCGACCACTTATACCTGTATATACTTACACCACCAATGAAAACGTCTCTTGCACAGGTATATATATGTACGTATATACATACATTACATGCAGACAGACCGGAGGTATATACCATATGCAAGCCACTTGTGCATGCACATAATACGGGCGACTTTCTCGCTAACTTTCTACCGAGTGTGGGCTTCACTCCCTCCCTCCCCGACGTGCAGCTTTCATTCACCGCGAACTCCCCTTTCGTTAACTGCCACCTCCTATATGGATATATATACCTGCACACTGTGTGTACAGTCAACGACAACCCGATTTATACCTACACATCGTATCAACGTGTAGTTTGGCTATATTTTCAAGAGAATGAATAATTTTGTTAGCTAAATATAATGCCTTTACGATCGATCCAATTGTGTTAAAATTGGGTGAAACCTATATCTCTTTTTTATCCTTCTGCGTCTTTCACGAGATATAAATGTTTCGATGCTTATAATCGATTGGAGTTTATCTTAGTAACCGTACTTTGATCGATGGTGATAGTATGAGTCTAAATTTTGTCACTCTAATGAAAGTAGTTTTGTGCGAAACACGATCTGTCTTTCACCAGATACCACGACGTGCAACCAGAAGTAATTTGCTGAGTTTTTTTGTCAATTTTCGTAAAAATATATGTGTTAATTTTTTCCCTACCTTCATTGCGTTTCAATTATTTTGTTGTCATGTGTTGTTGTAGTTATAGTTTTACAAACACTTTATGGATAAATATAATTATTTCAAGTGAATAAAAAGCAACAAAAAGGACATATTTTTTTCTTGACTTCTCTAAATTGCAAACTCTACTGGTATGTAATATCAAAAATCTGTATTCATTAATCCTTATTTGGATATGAGTTTTTCCTCTTTTCACGTACCTATACACGCACAGTTTTGTGTTTTCTTTGATATATTTTCATTGTAGATACACGCACTCCAGAATGCAGCAACAGTCGCAAGATAGAATGGCTTTTTTCTTCCAGTTATTGCCTACATGGGAAATCGTTGAATTGATTGAATTTTTGTTTTATGGTCCGTCAAGGTCAATGGACTTGAGAGATTTATGGAGAAGGAAAGAGAAAAGAAAAAAATTGTAAGAGAGGAATTTGGCTTCGCGTGTTTGTGTCTTCGTCGTCGTCGAGAGTCAGAGAGAGGAGGCTCTCCTTTTTTTTCTATTTTAATTTTGGTGATGATTATGCCAGCTACAGTGGTGCTTGGTATCTGATGACGGGACCCCCCCCCTTCTGTTGCTCTTTGTTAATCATTGACAATTTACTATTTTTGTCTTTGCCAGGATATACGTGCTTTAAAAAAGTATGACAGAGGTTAACTAGGTTGATTGAGGGGGAAAAAAAAAAAAAAAAACAGCTATAGAAGGGACAAACTCATTTGCGGTGGAAACTTTTGTTTTTCGTTTCAGTCTGGTTTTGGTATTCCGTGCCACGACCTGCAGCGTTAAATGAAATAAATTGATATCCAATAGTAGAAACCTCCAATGAGTAACGAGTTGCTTCAATGAAAATCATCTAAACTCAAGTATCGAGGAGCGAAAGAAGACTTTACCCGATTGTAAATAGTGCAAACAGTGGCTAATCAAAATGTTTGTACAGTTGAATTACGATATATACACTCGGGGGAAAAGAAGAAATACGAAGAAAAAAAAAGCGAGGGAAAGAGAGAGAAAAACACGCAAACAATGACTGGTTTTAAAATTTATCACACCAGCAGCTCGCTAGAATATCATGTGTGTACAATAATAAATTTAAACGAAACGTCGGCCAAGTAAGTAATCAGCTCGGCACCTTCTAGAAAAAAGAATGAACGATCACGTGATCCGTTTCATTCAGTATATGGTTTCCAACTAGTCATTCATTAGCGCACACCTATATACGTATACACGTACATGGCAGAATGAAATTACACTTAAAATGACATTTGAAACATGAATGATCCGTTTTTTTTTCTCATTCTTATCTATTTAAAAATCGTTTTTTATCCAATATACGTGAGCTCTCTTTGGCCTCTCATTGACGCTTGTACGATTTATCGACATAACCTGAAATGTGTATTTGTACATATATATATTATGTGTGTATAGGTAAGTATTTACTCGCGTCACGAATCGCACACGTGCGCGCCGTGAAATTTCCTTCTTAGCGCATAGTTATTTACGCGAGTACGTGATGGTTAAATTCAAATCGTCGTCATGAGATTAATGAAAAATCGAGGTCAAAGCGTTGAACATCCGAATTCTTACTGGTTTTCTTCAATTATATTTACAAGATAGTTTGAAAATCGGTTTTTCTTTGATAAGACCCGCGATTCTCTTGTTTCACGTTGAAAAAAAAAGTCACAATAGTAATTATAAATAAATAAAGGCGTAAAAGGGGGGAACTACTGCACCTCTCTTTCTCAACAAACCAAATGGATGAAACAACGTAATTATAAACGAGGGGAAAAAAGAAAAAAAACAGGTATTTGAAAAACGCAACTCACCGTTATTTCGACTGGGCGGCCGCGGTGGCGCAGGGTAGCTGGGCGGCAGGAGGACCGGCGGCTGCTGCAACGTCGACGATGTTGTCTTGGTCGCGTTGACAGCGGCAGCGGCAGCAGCAGCGGCGACGGCGACTCGTTGCCTCGCGGCGGCAGGTACCACCACCACACGACTGCCTCCAAGCTCTAGGGACGAGGTCGAGGATGCCGGACTACTGCTGCCGCCGCTGCTGCTGTTTATTTGGCTACTGATGCTGCTGCTCGCAGGCCAGGGTGGACGCCGCGGTGGCAGCGCCGGCGCCGGGGTGCAGTCCAAGGTATCCACACTTCCACACTTAATTCAACACCTTGCACCAACAAATATTTTTTCTTTTCTTCTTTTTTTAATGAAGTATGCTTCCCACGTGCGATTATATATATGTATATGTATTTTTTACTCTGATCCGATCGATCTACCGATCTATCTATCTATCCCGCAAAAAAACTTTCTATTTTTTTCTCTTTCTTTCCTTTTTGCTCTCGTGGTCCCCCTACAACTATTGTTATTATCACGATTATCGCTTCCGGTACGATCGCGCACCACTGCAGTTGAAGTAACAGTCACTGCTGTTACGCCGCTGCTTATTTTGCCCGCACAACAACTGCTGACGCTGTCATGAGACATGTAGGTATATGATCGGCCGCTGTGCACTGCAGGCTCCGAGCCAGCTGCTGTTGTTTTTATCAGCACCGCACATATTCCGCGTCAATTACAACGCGAGCAACAGCAACGTCTTCCCCGTCACTGTTGTCTTGCTCGAGGAGCCGGCTCGCACGGCACCCGCCGAGCCAACCAGCTGGTTAAATACAACGGAATCGCAAAAAAAAAAAAACGGCTGAACAACTCGACGACATTCGGAGCAAGAGGATGAGGAGGTATGTAACAGCGGCACCGCGGACTCACGTGTATACAATTACGTGTATGTATGGATACCGGACGTGCACGGCCGCGGCTCCGTCTTTTATCTCGAGCTCACAAACACCCGCACCCGCGCACAAACATATACACAAACAACACACCAACCAACTGTGGCTCTATTGTAGTCTTCCCCAGTACGCGAGGATGAGCGTATATTACAAGATAGTAAGTATTAACAGCGGCGTCTTCTTCCGAGATCGTTCGGCGAACGGAGCACGGATGTAACACAAGTATTTATATATATATGTATGTATATATGTATGTATATATGTATATATAAGTAGTCTCTGTAACTTTCTGCTACTCTCGTTGTCGGTTGTCGTCGTCGTCGTATTCGCTCGACTCTTGGTTCGTGGAAAGCACAAAAATATATAATGTATATCAGACGGTGAAGTTGCTGCCGCTTGTTTATTATCTGGCTTTCTTCTCTCCCGTGGAATATAATCGGCCGCTTATAGCCTCGCTATCTCCATCTCGCTCCTTCTTCGGTTTCTCTCTTCAGCCCCTTCTTGTGTATGTGTATATACTTGCTCCGGCCAAGAGAGAAGACCGGAGCTGATGCTCGCTCGCGGGAGAAACCAGCGAACGAGAGATGCAGCCAGCACACCAAAGTGCACAGCGCGAGTCGAGCAAGAGGGAGGCTGTATGGAGCACCTCTATCGTATACTTATACTCTCTTTGGCTGTGGCTCTCTTTTCCGTTCTGGCTGCTGCTGGATGATGTGTGTGTGTGTGTGTAGGCATACGTAAGAGAGAGAGAAAAAGAAAGAGTTAAAGAACTCGCGGCTTGCACGTAAACACATACACACATGTATGTGTTACTACAGTACGCGGCGAGCAGCGCGAGTTGCGAGCGAAATACACACAGCCAAGCGCGCGGGTTTCACACCTACTACATTCTATACGCTGAAAGTAAAAGACGCAGCATCTTCATAATCATCATCCTCATCACTGTAGCATTGCAGAATAATCAGACTGAGCACGAATACACGCATAGATTTTTTTTTTTTTTTTTTTCACAATATATTGCATACACGCATGAACACATGTAATAATACGCGCACACAACACGTCGACAACAGTACGATGGTGAGAGATTGCTTTCTTTTTTTTTTTTTTCTTTTCTTTCCTCTCTCGCGGCCGAGGATGCGTGATTTCTTAACGCCGATATCTCTTGGGTCACGTACTCGTAAAAGTAGGTGTATAAATCTGCGCTCACGGCTCACGGCTGTTGCTACTGCTACACTCCTGCGTAAGCACTACAGTCGATTGATAAAGAAATAAAATAAATAAATAAATAACGAAGAGAAGGGCCCAACTGCACGCGCCGGCTTTTTTTAGTGCTGATTTATCAATTAATTGATGGTTGCGTTACTGTATAGCTGCTGGCACACACGCGCACTCACACACATACACACACTGTGTTGTTGATGTATATATTTAGTACTGTACACGTATGTGTATGCCGAATAAGCTGATGCAGTATGATAATAGGTACACAGCAGGACGAGACACAGAGCGACAACGGACTTTAAATATCAACAAATTGTACAAAACATGTATTACATGTGAGCAGCAAACGTATTGTGTAAGTTTAAGAAAACAAAAATAATAACAAGTAAATGAGAGCGAGGGTAAAACTTCAACGGGCAAATATTGTAGATGATAAAAGAAGTAACACAGCTGAGCCGAGCCCTACGCTGGCTGCTCCGCTACTGCCTCTCCTTCCTCTCTCTCGCCTTCTCTTTCGGCCTCTACGCCGTAGTTGCTGCCATCACTGCCGCCGCCAGCCGCCGTCGCCTGTACCCACCCCTCCCTCCCTCCCTCTCTCTCTCTCTCAAAGAGCTACTCTCGCAGTTCAGCGTTCAGCATGGACTCGGAGCGCAACACACACCGCCATTCTCGCCTCCACTCCCCCCTCCCGCCCTTTGCCGCCCACCCGTACTATCTCTCTCTCTCCCTCTCTCTGCTCTCGGCTGCCATGCAGCTTCGCACATTGAGTCTGATATGTCTGGCACTGCTGGTGGTAAGTATATGGTACGTGTAATATTATGTACTTAATAAAATACACCCACTAAGTATGTTATGCATGAAATCGTTTCATCAAGCATATAAATATTACCAAAAGTTTCAGCTGAGTACTCATACATAGTATTTAGCTGAAACTTTTGGTAATATTTATATGCTTGACCCTATATATATATATTTGGTTTACAGCAAAAGATAGGTGTAGAGTTTTTTCATGTACGTATATACATATAGACATCAAGTATATTATAGGTAGGCGAGCGCGAGAGAAGGTGGACGGCCGCGCTGCTGCAGCAGCCGTCTCTGATGTTGACCGGCAGTAAACGGGCTTCATTCACTGCAGAAATAGCTGTGGCTGGCTTGCTCGTGTATTATATATATTATATAGCACACACACACACGCGCGCGCGCGCACTTATACATATATAGATACGGCCATCTCGATCGCCTCGCTTCTATACATAATATTATATGAACATCTGCGGAGTCGAGAAACGAATTTTTTACTCCCTCATTCTCGTACGTACGAGTATACGTAATACTTACAAGCGGGCCTTTTTTTCTTTTGTCTTTTCATCAACCTTCTCGTTTCATTTATCATTGTTATTATTTTTTGATACAGGTTGAAGAATAAAATAGATGCGCAACATGTGTGCAACAAATATACGCGAATCCACATCTCTCTTTCTCTCTTCCTTCCTTTGTAAAAATTGTACAAATGATAAACAATATCAGATACCTCCCGTTTGTTAATTGTACTATACAACTTATAAAAGTATTATTATTTTTATTATTATTATTATTATTATTATTATTATTCGCTGTGGTCGTAGCTACTGTCACGTTTTATTTACTTTTCTTGACCACTTTTTTTTCTTCTTTTGTAGCTGTAGTATCTTGAACCACTCGCTGTCGTGTATAAGTATAATATCATGGCTTTTTCTTCTTCTTCCGCTGCCCTCGATCTTTTTGCTCGAGTTGTTGCGACGATTGCAACGACGACCGTTGTTGCAACGAAATGCTCGTTCCTGCTGCGTTAACATCATTATGGGATATATTTTCTACTGTCAACATTTTAAGTGTAGGTGAAAACCTTTTATGGGGTGAAAACCGAGGTGAAAACGCTTCCTATATGGGAAAATTCACTCGCGCTGCAAATAAGTAAGATCTGAAATTGCGGCTTGGAATTACTTTTTACAAGTAATGGTTGGAAATACAAAAAAATATCAAAGTTTCAAAGTATCCTTCGAATGGACGTGAAACCTTTTCGACCCACGACTTTAACCTGATACCTGTATACGTACTAATATACACAAACTTGAAATATTTATGTCGTACTCTATTGTCGTTGATAGTGACTCTTGCTCCGAACTTCCTCTTTCGCTGTAACGTCTCGAAAACAAACAAACATCAGAGTAGCCCTATCATTAGCGAGCGTTGGTATATAAGTAATTTATCCCTAAAATTTACGAGCCAGAAAGATGTAGGTATATGTATCTGAGTATCATATCGAAGGTTCAAAAGGTCTGTGTGCCATTTTTCATTTTTTTTTTTTTTTTTTTTGTTATCGTACATCGCCTAAAAATTAGGTTGCCATTGTATACGCACGCAGGCGTATGTTTCGTTCAATACAAAATGGCTATTCTGGCATAATTTTTTTTTTTTTTTTTTTTTTTTTCACTACTTCTCTTTCTCGTCCATTCGTACGTTTATATTATGATGATACGCGTCCACAGGCTTCCTCCCCATGCATGTAAATGTACTGTACGCTGTATGTATATGTATTTTATTGGCAAAAAAAGCAAGAGCTACGAAAAAGAAGAGCAGAGAAGAGCAAAGAAAATACAGAGAAGGCCAAAAGAGAGAGAGAGCAGGCGGCTTGGCATTTTACTACGATTCTTACTACGGCCACGCTGCTCTCCTCGTGTGTACATATATATATATACACATATAATATGCCGAACGGGCGACAGTATGAGTGTGTATATGTTTATATGGAGGCACAGAATGAGAGATCGGCTCCTTTCATGCGTCTCGGGCTCTAACGCTCCCTTTTTATCAGCATACTGTATCTGTACGTATCGATACATTGTGTATACAGTATACTTGTGAAGTTACACTTCAATTCTACTTGTTCGTGTGCAAGATTGCGTGATGGCATCTCGGTGGCAGTCATGAGTGAAATGAAACTGGATTCTAGATATCATTGCTACGGAAAATGATTGATTTAGAGAAAAAAAAAAAAAAAAAAAAAAAAAACCATGTTGAATCTTCATACCGAATCGTTTATTGAATACTTGTACGCAACAAAAGTTACTTTTTATTTGTATACAATACTGTTCACTTGGATTAAAC